AATTTTCTTGTAATATTTTACTTTTGCTTAAGCCGAACCTGTATATAACTGTACAAGAGAACTAATCGCTCAGATATGTAAATCGACTGTGTAATTATGGACGAATACCGAGCGATAGGGGCCGATCGTGGCCGATACGGGCTAACTCGCGAATAATTTGTCACCGGGTCCGGCACCAATCCGAGATAAATGATCAACGTCACATTGACTTTAATTTTTGACCAAACCTCAACGATCCAATCACCGACACTTTGCAAATTAATTAAGCCACCCGTTAAACGATGATATCATGGACAACAACATCGATCATTGAATATCCCACTACACCTAATCAAACTGGAAAGTACCTATTTTTGAGCAGGCTTTAATAAACCGACATAGAGCTCGGGTTTGACCGTTATTGCACAAGATATAAAAGCACAGTTACTTTTTACACTTCCCGGTGTAGCGTCAAACCGCAAAACTAATGTCTGCAATGTGCTCCATGGATTTCCCACCGCTTATCGAATCGCTTTATAAATACAATGCGTAACTTGATCGGTAAAGATCTATTACCAGTTACCATCAATATACTTATTGTATTCTTATCGTTATCATAAAAAACACAATAAAAATACATTTCTTTTAGTATTTGCTTATTTATAGTTTAGATAAGTAATAAAAATAAATAAAAAATGGTAAAGCTACCTTCTGAAAGTCTATTTTTGTACGACGATGGGTGCTGAGCACAATTTGTCTCGGTGGTCGGTCGAAAAAGTTGACCTTCCCCAACGGTCGGTTGAATCTAAAAAGGAGATAAAACGCTCCTTCTCGTAATCCCGCGAGAGAGACCGCAAGGTCACCGGTAATTACCTGAGCTTTTTCAGTCGCAAAGTGGACAGCTTCCTTATCACCCGCGTGCGTTGGACATTTAGGAGGCATGTCACGTACGCAGTAAGTGGATAATACTTAATTTAGGCGAGCGCCGTCCAGTCCAACAACGTCAATATTTGCCGAGGTAATTTTCAGGTAACCAGCCGAGCATGCATTACAGTGATTGCGCGCCGAAAAGCCTTGACAATGCCAGTTTTTTGCCTAAATTGCTGAGCTTTACGAAAAGACCCCGGCTGTAAATCAAACCTTTTTACTCATTATCCGTAGCCGTATCGACGTCAACGACGCGACAAACAAAGAGAAACGCAACGAGACGTCATACCTGGTTTGTACCAACGTTTCTATCAAAAGGTTATCGACAGGGGTTCCGGTCACGCTTGTAAAAATTTTCAAAAAGATTTTTTAATGGGGGTACAAATCCATTGACTCTGTCGGTACTGAATACCCGGAAGTTAACTGACCAATCCTTACGCAATCTAGCCTGACAAATTTTTAATAACCATGAAATTAAAGCCAAAATATTCTATTGAAAAATTTAAATGTTAAAAGACATTTGATAACTGAAAGATTTGTATTTTAAGAAATAATTTATCAGGAATCCTAAAAATATTTAATACATCCATGCAGACAATATATTGACTTTAATTAACTAAAGATGAATTTCGAACTTCTAAATCTTCCAAATCAAATAACAAACATGATCCCCTTTTCCTACAGAAAGTCTTCCAAGTCAGAATAGAGTCATGATCAAATACTTGGCAATCACCGCACTAATTTCCATGCATCTTAGTAAAAATTTTCAAACTTGTGTTAACTTACTTTAAGGCTAAGTTACCTTGCATTGAAAATAGGTGCGCCAACTATAGAATTTCATTATTTTGTTTTGCAGCAAAATTACTCATATTACTTTGAATTAAGTTGGGCTGATTTAATTTCAAGCTGGGTTGAGTTGATAAAGAGTTAGGTTGAGTTGACTTAAAGTTAAGTTAGCCTATTTTAAGGTTAACCCAACCCAACCATGACTTAAGTTTGCTTTATAATGGATTGAGCTCAATTGATTTGTTATGAGATTGGCTTGTTTTGGTACTGAATTCGGTTGCTTTGGAGTTGTATCGCTTTTGTTGGTTGAATTACTTCAGTGTTGAACTGGTTTACTATGGATTTGATTTATTTTCTGTTTGAGTTGCTTTTGGGTTGGCTTGCTTTATGATTGGGTTGATTTCTCTAAGCAATCCAAAACGTTGCTTATTTTTAATAACGAATTGCATAGGTTTGTTGAAAAGTTACTTATTTTGTGATTGGGATGCGTTGGCCTTGGATTAGCTTCGTTTAGGGCAAGCTTGGGTTGAATTGGAGTTGCCTTAGCTTATTAAAGAATTGAGTTACTGTGCGACTAAGTAACTTTGAGGTTGGGCTTAATTGAGTTCGTTTAGAGTTCGGTTGGTTTAGATTGGATTGCAGTTATGTTTGGCAATCACCGCACTAATTTCCATGCACCTTAGTAAAAGTTTTCTAAGTTGTGTTAACTTACTTTAAGGATAAGTTACCTTGCATTGAAAATAGATGAGCCAACTATAGAATTTCATTATTTTTTTTGCAGCAAAATTACTCATATTACTTTGAATTAAGTTGGGCTGATTTGATTTCGAGCTGAGATGAGTTGATTTATAGTTAGGTTGAGTTAACTTAAAGTTGAGTTAGCTTACTTTAAGGTTGGATGAATTTAACCCAACCCAACCATGACTTAAGTATGCATTATAATGGAGTGAGCTCAGTTGATTTGTTAAGAGATTGGCTTGTTGTGTACTGAATTCGGTTGCTTTGGAGTTATGTTACTTTGTTGTCGACTTTTCTGGGGTTAAGATGACTGACTTTGAAGTTGGATTACTTTATTGGTTGAATTATTTCAGTGTTGAACTGGTTTACTATCGATTTGATTTATTTTCTGTTTGAGTTGCTTTTGGGTTGGTTTGCTTTATGATCGTTTTTCTCTAAGTAATCCAAACACGTATCAAGCTTGAATTACAACGGGTAAGCTTGGGTTGTGTTACCTTGTTATGGAGTTGGTCAACTTTGCTTATTTTTCAAAAACGAATTGCTGCGATTGAATTGGTTTGTTGAAGAGTTACTTACTTTGTGATTGTGATGCGTTGGCCTTGGATTAGCTTAATTTAGGGCAAGGTTGGGTTGAATTAGAGTTACCTTAGCTTACTAAAGAATTGGGTTACTGTGCGACTAAGTAACTTTAAGGTTGGGCTTATTTTAAGGTTGGATGGATTTTCCAAAACAACCCAATCCAACCATGACTTAAGTTTGCATTATAATGGATGAGCTCAGTTGATTTGTTATGAGATTGAATTCTTTGAAGTTGTGTCACTTTGTAGTCGATTTTTCTGGGGTTGAGATGACTAACTTCGAACTAGGATTACTTTGTTGCTTGAATTATTTCAGTGTTAAACTGGTATATTGTGAATTGGGCTTCTTTTCTGTTTGAGTTGTTTTTGGGTTTGCTTCTTTTAAGATTGGGTTGATTTCTTTAAGCAACTCAAACTCGTACCAAGCTTGAATCACAACGGGTAGGTTTGGGTTGTGTTAGCTTGTTGCAGAATTGGCTAACTGCTTATTTTTCAAGAACAAATTACTGCGATTGAATTGGTTTCTTGAAGAATTACTTACTTTGCGATTGGGATGCGTTGGCAGCTCCGTTTTAATCGATTAAGTTGTGCGAATAAGTAATTTTGAGGTTGGGTTTAATTGAGATCGTTTAGAGTTGGGTTGGTTTAGGTTGGATTGGAGTTATGTTGGGTTAGAACATGATTCTACATTCTTCATGGCAATCTAACCCTATCACTTGTGAGGTTTGAATTACTACGAGTTGATTTGAGTTAGATTGTCAAGTTTAAGAGATCTTTCAGATTAAATTGCTCTTGAGTTTGATTAAGGCTATGTTAAGTTATGAAATTTGAGTTACAACGTTTTGGCTTCTATTGACTTCTTCAGTATTCTTATGGTTGAGTTGTTTCCAAGTTAGATTGGCTCGTTTTGGAGTTTGATTAGTTGTGGTTGGATTTGGGTTACTTTATGATTAAGATGCTTTTAAATTCGGTTGGGGTGAGACGAGTTGGATTGGGTTGCTTTGATGCATTTATTTTGTAAGAAACAAATTTGAGTCTTTAATGATTATATTAATTTATATATATTTATGGATTTTGCATACTTTTGCCCATTTTGAAACGACCAACATCAGAGCACTAATACGACATCATTATGCATGTCATGTAAAAAAAACTATACATACAAACGTGTTTTTATCCATCAACTTTTCCATAATCATAACTGCAATTTCTAGTACCATTGAGATAGGAGAACAGGGATAAGAAACATATTGTCTTGTATCCCTCATCCTAAATTTCCTATCCTACTAATTTACCCAGATCGTTTAGAAACTACTCTAAATAAAGACTGAGGTGAAAGTTTTGGTAATAGCAATAATCCGTTTTCTATTTTGAAAAGACATGACGTTTACGTGACGAACGTGACACAACAATTATCTGGCTACGTAAGATTCGGTGAGCAACAAATCGCAAGTAATTTTGAAACACATAGGTTAGTTTTGAGGCTAAATAGATCTTATAGGAAATGTTCTAATTTTCTTGTATCATATAATTAAACAAGATGGTTAGCAAAGAGATCAATTTGGAATTATGATAAAACGAAAAAGTTTTCATTATGGTAGTCGTATCAATCTTCCCTATCTTCCGGACGACTGTACTTCTTCCGTGTTCGCTTATTAGGGTTCATCGTGCGTCTGAAACCGTCGTCAACCGAACCACCCAGTTATTCCATAGGCGTATCCCCGACAAATGTCCACCACTGTGAGCAGGGACAAGGGGGGTTCAAAGCGTCTTTATACCCCGCATCAAAAGTGCGAATGTCGCAGATAGTGGCTCAGCAAATGGTAGGGAGGTGGCAGCATTGTAATGTGTAACCCGAGTGTAACCCCTTTCGAAGTCCCCTTCCAAACCGGCGGCGGCATCGTCATCGTCGCCGACGACGGCGTCACCCGAACCGAACCCGAACGCGATCGGCGCCTTCAGTCTTCGTGCGACGTCCGTTTGGATTCAGTGTCAGTCGTGCGCTGATTTCGTTCGCTTCAGTAGTGCGCCCTATGAAACCACGGGAGATGCGTTCAGAGATCGCAACCGGATTTTAGTTTGTTATATTTTTTAAAGAAAATTTCGGTGTTTGTCGGAATTTTAAATAAACTAGATCCCAGTTTTTGGATCTTGTGCTGTTGTGCCGTCGAGGTCTTTTCGATACGTAAAAAGGCCGACCACCAGGTGTATTTTGTGCGCGGCCATCGGAGGCGACGTTGTGTTTCCGTTTTATTTTTGAGTTCTTCGTTAATTATTTTTTTATTTTTATTTTCACTTGGTTCGATTTTGTTATCGTCTCTTCGTACAACAACCAACGATAAAATGTCGCTGTTTTGGCGAACGGTGCTTGCTTTTGCTACAGTGTCTTCCACCATGGCTATCTTGATCGGCGGCGAGCAGGACGTCGCCAGTCCCTTGAGGGTTGCTCAGTGTCGAGCTACGTGTTTAGAAAGGGTAAGATCCTTATAATAACGTTTTTGTACCATTTTACAAATAATATTTTTAAATATTCAATTACTTGTATCAAGCTTTTTTGGGTAACTGAAACAGGAAGTAATCTGCTGAAAGCTAATCTTTTTTCTTAACATCTTTTTGTTTGACGATTCTACAGAAACTTTGCACGTGTTCGTATTTGCATTATTTTTATACATTCTAAACTTTTCAAGGTTTTTATCATCGCGTTCACTTCCTTTTTGTGGTTAAATTTTATAAAAGCATGAAAAAACTTTTCACTTTATATCAGATAAACATTATTCCAACTTTTGATGTATCAACTTTCCTTTTAATTGCGTTATATCCTTCTCTTACATAATAATGAAGTAATTAAATACAAAATACTAATATATTAATGTTAAAAGAGGGAAAACAATCTGGAGTAAAATCTACTTGATGATAATTAATCTGCTTGCAACTTAATTACACATTCGTTTCTGAGAAATTCAGAGAGAAGTGGTTTGCAGAAATCGAAATGAGTACACGGAGTAATTAAGATTGTATTCTTAGAAGGTAATAATCGATTTCTAAAGTGTTTTGACTTTGTTGCACTAATTGGTTTATTTTTCTGTAATGATATAGATGTTTCTTAGAATTTCTTAAATTGATAATAACATTAGAGATATAAGTACAAAGGCTTTCACAGCCGGTGTTAATTAAACTAAAATTAGAACTATCACTAGAACTAGAAACTTTCGGGTTAAGCCGTGCATTTTTTGAAAAAATGTTTAACGTTTCGGATGCCATGTTGCAACCTTCTTCAGAAACAAGTTCAAAGTCTTCGATGTTCACTTCGAACTTGTTTCTTGGCTTAACCCGAAAGTTTGTAGTTCTAGGTCTAGTGTTAATTCTAGTGATAGTGTTAGTTCTAGTTTTAGTATAATAAACATTAGAGATAATTGCAGAATTAAGTTGACTTTGTAATAAATAGCATTAAATGTATTGATTTACAATAGATATCATCTTATGTGCAAAACTTAAAACTATTACTCACGAATACGGTGAGAAACGATACCTCCGGATTACTTGTCGGAAAGTTTCCGGTCGAATCCGAGGGGCGTTTTCCGAAACTTGGCGTAATAAAGCGGGTAATAAACCTATTCCTTAATGTAGGCGTTCGTTGGTGCGCTTTAGATCGACCAACGGAGGGCGCCACGTTCGCCAAAAGCCTCCTCAATTCAATTCCTCCTCCGGGAGGCCTCCGCCGCGCTGTGCGCCGCCTCGTTCGGTAGAGTTGAAGTGATTTAATATAGCTAAATTGGTTTCCTGTCATCTTGAAAGGCAGTTAAGCGGCGATGATTGATAGCGCCCAACTTTGCAGCAATTAGAAACAAAGATACGTTGGGACTACGACGACGGCTGCCAATGTTCCGCGGATCGCCGCCGATATTGTTTGTTTGTCGCCGTTTACCGGCTCACAATCGAAGCATAAATCATCGTTAACCCGGTTCGTCGTTAATTACGAAACGGTGTTGAAAAGTCGTCCTCGTCGGTTTAGTTTGTTTGCACGAGTAACCATGCAAAATGCCGCAATAATTTGTCATAACTTATTGCCGTAAAATTATTTTATTTAGAATCAATCACGTTATTGACGTTTAAACGGAACGATAAGTTTATAATCGGTTCTTCCAGTACCTTATGATGAGATTACATCGATAACAACCGTTTTATTACTTGTTTAATAGACTGTAAATGAGAATCCTCGCTAACAAATTAATAACACAATAACACAAAGAACCATTTTTGCATGCCTCGCATGACGATTTCGAACTGAGATAAATATTTAGATCGTTTCACGACTTCAACTTTTAAATATTTAACCAACAGACCGACATCTGTACATACAAATAGCGCTCAATTGCCGGGGCTGATTTCCAAGAACTTTTGCATAATGTTCATTTAGATTCATGCGCGGTCGGTCGTGAATTACAGCTCGCTATCTTAGCTGGAATATCAAATCTTGGACATGAATAATCTGCATGGCGTCCTGTCAACTAAGGAAAAAATGATTTGCCCCGGTCATATCCCCGAAGAAGAGTGTTGCACGAGCTATTATATTGAAAGTTTCTTCGGAGTCTCTCGAAAGGCTCTTATTGAATAAAAATCCGATGCCGGTCAATTTGGTTTAAATTGGCCAATAAATTTTGTACGGCACGGCGAAGCCGGATCCCATCTTCGTTTTTTACGTCGAACCTACCTGCTCAACTCACCGCGATTAGGACTTGGCGATTAAGTCAATTTCAAACCCACCTCTTAACGAAGATTCAGGTAACAAAAACCCTAAAACCAATTTTGCGAAGGCCACAACATCGGAATCTCTTTTCTTCTAAACCTAACGTTCGCTATGTGGTTTCAAAAAATACTCCAATGAAAACGTAATTGCACAAGCTGTCGAAGAACATTTTACATTTGTTCCGGCCTTCAATTATATTCGAAAACAAAATGAACCGTTACGATGTGTTATACGCGGGGATAGTTCACAGAACGACCAGGAAGTCGGTCTCCCTAATTATACTCCTTCAAGCATAATTAACCGAGTAATTGTTAAAAACGTAGGAGACATAAAAGTCAACTGTCATTACGTTGAAGAACCATGGGAAAAACTAATAAAAACCGACAGACGACCGACACGCAATTATATACCGCTCATGTTGTCCAAGAAGAAGCCCCTTATGCGATAATAATTATTTTAAATTGTCCGTTACGACGGAAGGAGGTGCCTACTCGCTTATCGCTCGTTTCAGGAACCAATCTTTCTTGTTCCACATCCCTAACTCACAACCCGAACGAGGTAAATACACGAACCACAAAAACCCTTTGTATTCCAAAAACCATCCACATGTTTGACATTATCTTGTACCCGAAAGAAAATTTTCAACTGAACCGTATGGCTAGCACATGCTCTCAACTTCTAAAAGAATGAGGGCTGGGTGTGTTTGGGACCCAATCGATGGATTTGATCAAAAAGTAAATTGCTCTACACTGACCTGTTACACCCTATTGAACACGAGCACTATTTTTCTTGTTATAACCAGAAAAGGAATGGTTCCATTCATATTAAAGTTTTTCAATTACATTTACATAACAGTGGGTGTAGCATAATTATAGGTACAAGTAACGATAATTGAGAGGTCAATCAAATAGGGAGTGATTCGATTCGAAACCAAACCTTAAATGTCTAATTGTGTTGTAAATTAATTTGTAGTCTTTTTAGAAAGTATATTTATAATCTATGATTCTTTTAATTTAGACTACATCAAATATACATCAGTATATTTAAATATAAATGTTAGAATCCAATTCGCGTTATTCCTCAAGTTGTTCTATATGATGTATAAATCAAACAAGGTGGTTTTCGTTGAAAAAAAACTAGAATTAACACTAGATCTAGAACTAGAAAGGTTTTGCCGTACGTCTCTTAAGACGGCTAGTGTTAGTTCTAATGCTAGTTTTAGTTGTTATTCAGCGCTAGATTGTTGTATATTTTTCATTGAACTAAAATTAGAACCAACACTAGAACTGGAAACATTCGGGTTTAGCCGTCTTAGCAGACTAAGGGCTAAACCCGAATGATTCTAGCTCTAGGTCTAGTGTTAGTTCTAATGATATAAAACTAGAACTAACACTAGAAATCTAGAACTAGAAACATTCGGGTTTAGCCGTTAGTCTCTTAAGACGGCTAAACCCGAATGATTCTAGTTCTAGGTCTAGTGTTAGTTCTAATGATATAAAACTAACACTAGACCTAGAAACATTCGAGTTTAGCCGTTAGTCTCTTAAGACAGCTAAACCCGAATGATTCTAGATTTAGGTCTAGTGTTAGTTCTAATGATATAAAACTAGAACTAACACTAGAAATCTAGAACTAGAATCATTCGGGTTTAGGCGTTAGTCTCTTAAGACGGCTAAACCCGAATGATTCTAGTTCTAGGTCTAGTGTTAGTTCTAATGATATAAAACTAGAACTAACACTAGACCTAGAACTAGAAACATTCGGGTTTAGCCATTAGTCTCTTAAGACGGTTAAACCCGAATGATTCTAGTTCTAGGTCTAGTGTTAGTTCTAGTTCTAGCAAATTAAAAATTTCGTATTAATCCGTTATATCGAGATTTTACTCCATTAATGTTTAAACATTCTTGTAAAATCGTTCTGAAATTATCACCAATTGTAATTGAAAGCTTCTGTTTATCAATGAACAGACTTAGTTTTGAAAAATCACTTTTACTTTTTGATACAACCCTTTCAGTTTTTAATATTAATATTAAGGTGCTCAAAATCTGGTTTGGAGACTCAATTTAAAAAATTTATGGAAAATCGATTCCTGATAAAATTGTTCTGAAATTGGCAAAAAATTCTTGGAAAATTGTTACAATCTATTAATAGAAGCTTTCACTTAAGCCACTTTTCATTAATGAAGCCCGTTTTGAAATGTATCTTTTAATTTTTGAAGTAAAATGTTTTGAATTTAATCAAAATTTCTGCCAACTTTTATGTATCTCTGTATTATTTTTAAAAATTTCTGGAAAATTATTTTTTTTATGCATATTACGGAGAAGATTTAAAAAGAAGGATAATAAACATTGGCAGTTAGATTAAAAGTGTGATGGCTCTGAATTGTATGGATTGAAAGAAAGTTCAAGATTGGATGTTCTTCGATGAAATATTAAGTTAGGTTTTGGGTTTCAGCAAAGAGATACCAGGTTATATAGACAAGGAAAAGGTAAAGCTACACCAAACAGAAATAGTCTCATTCTATATTTAAATCCAACGTTACAGCTTTGATTGTTATAGATGATGTATTTATAATAAAAACTTAAAAAATTCGTATTTCAAGAATTAATTGAGATATGATAATGAAATAAAAAGCATTTTAAAGATAATTGAATCTACAATTAATAATGATGTTAAGTTAGTTTTCTCTTAGGTGTGAGTCTCATTATCGCAAAGACGTTAAAGAAAT